GGAATGCACCAAATCCACACATGAACCAACCCCCTGTCAATCAAGAAGAGAATATTACCAAAGCTGCTGGAATGAAGCAGCCCTTGTGGCAGAGTTTATATAAAGGAAGATATCAGTGCCTTGTACCCCAGCAATTCTTTAGCAGGCTCTGCAAAGCTGAACAAAGCAGTCAGAGGTATTGGCAAGAGAAGCAGCATGAACTCGCTGCTTCGGACTGTCCAATGGATACAGACAGGGAAGAGAAATGGGAAGGAGTAAGTGTTTTTGTTTCCTCTAGCATTTCAACAACTACTGGGAAAAAGTACAACAGTTGCTCCATGACCCTGTTGCTTTTATCAAGTTTCATTTGGCACATGTTTGTATATATAGAGAAATACATTTAACTAACTGGTAGCCTAATGGTAGCCTGCCCTAACTACAACAGCTGTCAGGGAAAACACCTGGTGCAATGAATTTTAGCGACCAAATACAAAATAAATGAGACCACTGCTTGTTTAACTGTCATCTCTAGGGTGATCTGAAAAACAATACCCACAATATTGTCCAAGTGTTTGCCAGCAGCTGGTTTGCAACCTCCTTCCATATTTTCAATTTCTTACTTATCTACCATGTTGAATTTTCATTCCCTTCCCCCCACCCCTCCTTAAATTCCCATGTGTAAATTCTGTGAAATCATGAACTGCTGTGTGGACAAGTTAAAAACTTTTATCTTTCCTTAACTGAAGAACTAGTCAAGAAAGGGTGATATCTATCTACCTACCTACCTATCACCCTTTCTTGATATATCAATGAAAACTAGTATAGTTTAGAAATATATATATTAGATTGATAGTATCCAGCTGAAAAATGTGCCCCATAAAGACAATACTTTAATATTAATATAGTCTTTCAAACCCTCCTAATGCTGGAAGTTTTAGTCAAGTTGCACTCCAGCCATACCTGCACCTGGGGAAAATCCCCCATTTCTTTTTTTATTTTTATTGCAGTTTGAGAAGGCTTTGGCTTTTTATAACTTTATAACGTCTTATAACCTATTAGTTCTCTGCATTCTCCAGCATAGTTGTAGTGCTATGGTAAAATACATACCCCCCACCCCCCCACACACACACACCCACCAAGTATATGCCATGCGAGAAAGAGGGACAGACAAACCCTTGTGAAGACAGCCTTGTGAAACTGCAATAAAAATAAAAACACATGGGGAATTTTCCCTAAGTGCAGGTATGGCTGGAGTGAAGCTTGACTAAAATTCCCAGCATCAGGAGAGTTTGAAAGACTATATTATTGAAGTATTATATCTTTATAGGGCAAATTTTTCAGCAGGATACTATCAACCAGTCTCTTCAAATAGGTTAGCTCAAAAAAGTGACAGTGGAAGCTTGGAAGAGCAGAGTGGAAGCACTTTTCAGACAGCATTTCAATCCAACTTTGTACAATGGCAGTTTCCTCACCACATTCATGATTGCACTGTTCCACTACCCCAGAACATATGCAGCCAGAATAAAACATGTCCAGAATAAGTGCCTTTGCCCTCAGGTTAATTATGAGCAATCCTGATCCATATTATGGACAATTTTGTGAATGAATTTTTGGCACATATCCCATGGTACATAAACTGCTTCAGAATGGATACATCATCAGTGCAGAACTTTGTTAATAAGAAATCCTCTTCAAGTTAGAGATCTGAGACCTACTCTGAGATAAACTGTTATTCAGAAGAGTGCATATTTGGAGGGATAAAAGCAAGGTCCATTAACAATCAATTTTACTTCAAAACCTACAAGCATGACCAAATGTGACATTAGATCAGGACTTGAATAGACTGATTAAGTTCATCATTTAAAGAAATGAAAAATATATTAGGAGGATATAAAAATCAACAGCATGATGACATCTATTGAACTTTTAACCAAACATTTGCTGTATAAGCAGAGCAGAATTGTGTAATTTAACATTTAGAAAATCCACCAGAAACACCACAGTGCTTGCTTCCTTCATTAGCAGTGCTACCAGCTACCTAAGATCTATAAATATATAATCATATTCATATTCATTTTACTTCAAAAGGAGACATGTTGGCTGTGACAAACACGTTGGTTGAACATGCTGATGAGACATGTAGAGGACAGCCTCCTACATACAAAAGAAAACTAAATTGCTAAAAGTGCCTTTATCTCCTACATCTCATTCCAAAAGCATTAAAAAAGGGCCTTTTTTTTTCCATGCTAGTGCTTAACTAAAAATTTAAGTGTTAACAAGACATACTGGGAGGCAACATTCTGTACTAACAAGTCAAACTGAATTTCACAGAACATGTGCCCAAAACATAATATTCATTAAATTTTACAGGAAGGAATCCCTTTCATCATTCCTCTAATTATTTGGGTTTAGTGTTAGAACTGCAATATGGGCAATAGTAACACCTAAGAAACATGATAGCGAACACAGAAAAATGAGTATGTGGAATGAAAAATTGGTGCTAAGTGGAACAATGGGATATCTTTGCTCTTGCCAAGAGATAAGTGAAAGGAAAAACTAAGAACAACAGAGGACCTAGCAGCAAAAAAAAAAAAAGCAATGGAACTGTACTGAGAAGCACCGCTGGAGAGAAAGCCTTCTAAATTATTACACAAAAAGCAAGATCATGAGCAAGGGAGAAGAGAGTACCCAGTACAATGGCAACTGCTGTAGGGGTAAACAAGCAGGATCAGATGAAATTAAGGAACAGAATGTAGGTGAGGGGGTTTGCAGTAACAGACACCACTTAAATAGTAAATCCATACCCACCTTAACCAAATCGGGACTTGATTTTGCATTAGCTGCTGAATCAAGGAGCATAGATTCGGCATGTATTCTGTGTAACCGGTCTTTAAGATCTGTGTTTTGTGCTATGGCCTGGAACATTTAACAAAAATATTGGGGCTATAAAGTTTTCTTAGCTAATTTAAACAGTGGCTTAACTGTGCAAAAAGGGCAGAAGAGAACTTAAGAGTGCAGTAAAAATTACCACTTGACAAGTGACTCTTTCTGGTCCCACAGAAGGTATCACTATCATAAATGCTTCAGATGTTGCTCTTTACCTTTTAAAATCAGACAACTATGGTTGTGTTGAAGTGTGCCTTCTCCATTTACAATAAATGGAATAGGCATCAGGGATTGCCAGAAGCTATAAGCAGATTTCTAAAGTTAGATATTATTTTATGGATTATTGTGCCCTTTGAGTTCTCTTCTTTCATTTCTTTTATAACCTAGCAGTGAGTGATTACAGAGGCTCTCATGCTATTTTCCCTTGATAGCCAGAAAACTGTTTTACAAGAATTACAATTTTTTTACCGAATCAAAACAGCACTGGAAGGGACCTCAGGACAGGGTCATCCCCATCTAAACCATTCCAGATGAGTGTTTGTTTAACCTGTTCTTAAAAAAAAGGCTTTCAAGGATGGAGATTCCATAAATCTCTCTAGCTAACATGTTACAATTCTTAACTACCATTGTAATTTGGAAGTTCTTCCTAATGCCCAAAGTAAATTTCCCTTGCTGTAATTTCAGATGTTTGCTTTTTGTTTCCTCCCCTGTGGCCACACAGAATAGCCTATCACTCTTTGCAACCATCAAT